TCTTCTTAATGTACTCTGTACTACAGCTTAGAACTCTCTCTCTTTAAGTTAATTATCTTACAGATCTGATACTTCTTTTCATTCTCATTTATCTTGTGAACTTTATGATGAGATGAGCTATTAATTTCTTTACAGATCTTGTGCTTGTGAAGCAGAAATATATAAAAAATATTATAAGTTTACAGATCTGAAGGCAGCTTCAGTCTATAGACTTACAAGTCTATCTTCTTTATAATTCTACAAGGCTTATGCCTCAGCAAACCCAATTTCTTGTTAGACTATATAGTCTTGATATTATGAAGATCAAGCTACATCTTGTCTTCTATCTGAAAAGTCTTTATAATATGCTTCTGATTATAGTACTTCTTCTGGTAGACTTGTGCCTTTATAAGTAATTTCTTAATCTTCTTACAGAGCAATCTTATTGTCTCTGTCTGATTTTTTAAATTCTTGCACATATAGCTATACTTCTCAAAGTCCAACAGATCTGTTTGTAGATTTAATTTATATATTAGCTGAAAAAGTGATTTCTGTGTGAAGGCCTGCCATGAGTTATTGTACACAAACTCTACTATTAGTAACCACATCATTCAGTTATCTTGATTATAACTGATATAGCTTTACAGATACTGCTCTAGCACACTATTCAGTCTCTCAGTTTGATTATCAATTTGCAGGTGGAACATCATGCTTATTACTCTTGTAATCTTCAAGATGTAAGTTAAATTATCTCAAAATTTACTTGTAAACAGAGATTCTCAATCTGTTACTATACTTACAGGTAATCTGTACAATCTTACTATCTCATAAATAAAGAGATGAACCAATTTCTCTAATATCAGCTTCTTTGTTATAGAGATAAAGTGAGTCATCTTTGTGAGCCAGTCCACTATAACCAGAATACAGTCAAACTGTATCTTCTCAAAATTCAGGCTCACAGAGAGATCTGTAATAACATCTATACTAATAAATTCTCAAGAGTAATTCAGAATTAGTAAGAATGATAGTTCTTCTTAAAGTTTTCTATAAACTCTTTTTGAGTTCTGGCAGATTCTACAGACTTTGCAATACTTTTTCATCAGTTCTCTTATTCTTAGCTAAAAGTATTTGTGAGCTATAAGCTCATACATTCTTGCTGTAGTAAAATGCTCTGTAAGAGATAGATCATAATAATGTCTAATCAGCTCTATTCACAAGATCTCATTCTGAGAAATGTACATGCAATTATTTCTATAGGAAATGCTCTTCTTCTCTTTTCACATTGTGAATTTCTTCATGCTCATCTTAATGTCTTTGTGAACTTTAACTGCATAGTCATTACTTTGCAGTAGATTTGATAATGATGCCAACAGATTAGAGCTGCTCTTCTTATAAGAATTCTCCTTATAAACAAGATCTTTGATCTTCTGAACCTGCATTATAATCTTCTTTACTTTATACATGTCTTTCAAGACAATTTTCACAAGTAGTTTCTTGGTCACAATCTGAAGCTTTACAGAGATAAGTTATGTATTCTCATCTTCTCTCTTCTCTCTCTGATTAGAAGAAACTTGAGCTGTCAGTTCTAACTTTTCTGTAGTTTCTTGCTTCTTCACAAGCATTACTTTCAGTTGATTTGCAGTCTCACAACCCTTTGTATTATCTAGATCAGCCTTCTTGACATAATCAGATCTTTATAAAAATCTATCTGCCAGATTCTTGATTTCTTTCACATGGTTAACTGTAAATCAAAAGACTGTTAGTCTTTGTGCTTAGCAGATCTGTCTTTACAAGAGGTCTTGAGCAGTCTGGAAATAGCACAAGCTATTATAATCTGTAAGAACTTGAACTGGTGTTTGCAAGCCTTTCAACCAGCAGCATTAATATCTAAATAACTTCACAATTGTGAGCAGTTCTTGATCATTAATGCTATAATTCATCTTCACAGATTGCATCTTCCACAAATAAAACCCAACTGAAACCCAAATGCCATTCTTTGCCAGCTGTAATAGAATATCACATACTATAAAGCCAGATGCATCTGTTTTCAGTCTGATTTTCTGTTCTATATTAAAATAGTAAAGCATAACAGCTTCTGTAAATGCTCTTTTCAGATTTATAAAGACTTTATGATCTTTCTCAGTCATGAAAGTATTGGTCTCTCTTCTCATCTCTCTTCACATATGTCTGCTTAGCTTTACTTCTCCTCTCTTTAAAAAAGCAGTCAGGCTGCAGGCTATTTTAGAAAATCTTGAGATAAAACACCTATAAAAGTTTATAAATTCTAAAAAGATCTGAATCTCTTTCTTACTAGTTGATTCTGGCCAGTTAAAAATAGTGTTCATGTAGCTCTTCTCTATAAGAACACTTTCTGGTGTTATGACATACTTAAGATAGTCAATCTCACAAGCATTGAACTTGCACTTTGCCAGCTTGTAATAAAGATCTGCATTCTTGAGTGCCTTAAGTACTAATTTCATATACTTCTTGTAGTCTTTCTTGTGAGTCAAGTACATGACCATATTATCAAGATAGGTTACTGTAAATACATTCAGATATTTGCTAAGTGTTTTCACAATATATAATTGAAAGACTGCTGGTGCATTTGTAAGTTCAAAAAACACTATTAAGTACTTAAATAGCTTCTGTAAAGTTCAAAATACAGTCTTTCACTTATTCTCTTTATGAATTCTCAATCTATAGTAGGCATTCTTGATATTTAACTGAGTAAATATTGCAGCTCCTGCAAGCTTATATAATACATCTTTAATTAGTGATAGAGAATATCTATTCTTGACTGTTTTTGAATTCAGATTATGATAGTTCACACACATTCTTGATTCATTATTCTTCTTGAACACAAACAGAATAAGTGCTCCTGCAGATGACTTGAAAGAGCAGATAAATCTATAAATTAGAATACTGCTCAGATATTTGTGAAGAGTCTCTTGTTCAGCTTGTAAAAGTTTATATATTCTTTCAAATTCTGGCTGCTTCTCTGACTCAAGATCTATAGTCAAATTATCTTTACAGTATAATGGCAGCTTTCAAGCTTTCTTGTTACTAAACACTTCTGTAAGTTTGTGGTAAGCTTTTAATATCTGAAAATCTAGATCTGCTGTCACTATCTGTTCTAATTTGTGAAGAGCTATTATGTAGATAAGCTTTCCTCTCTTCACTAGCTCTGAGAGGTTAACTGGTTTAATCTTTGTGAGCAGGTTGTGATATACAGTTTGAAACTCTAGTCTTAGTTCTCTGAAATACATCTTGAGATTATATTACTGCAGCCAGCTCAAACTCACTAGCATCTCATCTTTTATGTTTGTGACTATCACTTGTTCATGGAACAACTGTCAGTTTTTCTGAAAGTTACAGGCTTCAAAGAATATATTCACAATCTCTTTCACAAGAGTGATATTCTCATGATCTATAGCAGTTTCAATCTCTATAGACATCTTGTGCACCTCTAGCACTAGCTTCACAGCTAATCACAAACTAATCACTAGAGATTGATAACCAGAGTCTATTAGTGCTGACCAGATGATACTTCTGTCAGTTAGACTTTATATGTCTAGAACAATAAGAGAAAGAGCAAGAAGACTTTTCTTGAACAACTTTATTATATTAATTCTATCTACTTGCAGCTCTCTAATTTCCTATTTACTATTCTTCTTCTTGGGACAGTCTTTCATGAGATATCTCTTTTGACTATACTTAAAGCACTTTTCTTCTTTTTTTAAAGCTTCATAATTTTTGATAAGATCTTTTTTTATCTTCTGAGCAGATCTCTGGAGTTGACTTCTCTTATCTATTTACAGTCTTGAGTTATTAGTCTTTATATCTCTGTAAGTACTTTCAACTAGATTGGTAGACTTCACATGCAAGGCATTCTTTTCAAGAACTGCTGTTATACTTGATTGGAGCCAGATAGTCAGTACTACTATCTCATTAATATCATCTGGTATTTCCAGCTGTTTATCCAGTTTAGCTCACATGAGCTTATTCAAGTTCTTTATGTATAGATTCTTCTTTATTTTTTTAAAGCTTTCAAATTCTTCACCAATTTCTGTTGCAAGCTCTAGAAATTATTAGCAGTAGACTTGGTCAGTTTCATTCAAACTCTTATAAAGATTAAAGATTGCTTATCAAGAATTTTGTGTATGGTTTGCTGAATCTTCTAGTCTCACACATAGGAATTTCTTAAGGTCATTCTAGTTATTCTTCAATAGATTATTTTTGTAGTAAATCTTTCAGAGATCTTTTTTAATGTAATCAAGTTCTGTAAGAGCATATACAAGAGTTTTCTCATTATCTAATTTGCTTATATCACAAGTGAATTTAATACTGAAGATGAATCACTAATATTTTATATAGAAGCTAGTCTGATAGAGCTTTATGTATTATAGTGATCTCAAGACTAACAGACATTTTACAGATGTTGAATTAAAGATAATTATATCAAGAGATTTACTTCACAAGTACTTTTAGATAATTTGAAGAGTATTCAACTTTTCTTGTCATTTTATTATTCTCTTTAGTAGTTTGATTTTCTTGTGAAGTCATTGGATTTCATCTCTTGATGCTAAGATAGACTCTCTCTCTGAAATTGTGATGCTAGTTTTGGTTTCATCCACAGTTAAGAGAGTTAAGATGATTTCAAGATTTATCATCTTCTCACAAACTTGAGTTTGTTCTTCAGGTAGATTTTCTGCTAGTGTTTCAGGTTCACAAGCTTCAGAGAATTGGCTTCTTCATGTTAATATCATTGTCAGGCATCACTAAAGAAGAGTAGCAAAATGTGAGAATTGTATATGTGAATCAGTGTGACAATAAATCTATAGAAGAAATTGTATGTGAAAAAGAGTACACAAGATAAAAGATCTGATATTAGCAACTATGTATGACTTGTAGACAAGATTGCCACTGACTTCTAACAAGAAGTTCATACAGTGACAGCCTTTTATGTGTGCTCATGAACATGTGACTTAGTGCCTTATAAGAACATATGTACTCCCAACAGCTCACAAGCCCAGGCCCTGGGCCCTTGCAGATGTTGTTTGTCCATGTAAGAGGTTCATGGGTGAATCCTTACAGCCCATCCAGGGGTCAACCAGGCCTGTAGAGAATGCAAATGCAGGGGGATACACCTTAAGCTATTATACATGCGCCTATAATAACTGACTGCTGCAAACTGTCCTCTCAAGCCAGCATTAACTATTCTGATTCTAGTTAAGCCACTTACCTCTATCAGGGATAACCAGAGATGCCCTTGTCAGGTGGTTTTCAAATCTATTCCCCTGAATTGGCGCCCCACTTAGTTACTCAATTATTAGTTATTATTGGATTTGTAAGTGAAGTAGGTTTTAGTAGTGCAGTGGAGCCTACCCACTCACATTCATTTTAGCTTCACCAGATGCTAGGTGAACCTATTATCTCTACCCAATCATCAGTTATCATTAGGTAAGAGGTAGTAAGTAGCTTAGTAGAGCCATGAGCATACATGTGTTGCTTTTTACACCACAACTCTGGTGGGTAAAAAAGTGTGCCAGTTGAAAGATTTGAACTCTACACCCTAAACTGCACCTGCAGCTCATTTTTACCAGTGAGCCACCTGGCAAATCTAATATCAAGACATGTATGTATTAACTTTTCATTTCTTTCAATATTATTTTGAAGAAAAATCAATTTTAAAGAAGTATTTGAAGTTTCATTTAATATAAATTGATAAATGGCAGTCTAACTTCAATCTTCTTTTTAGAGATTATAACTTGATTTTCATCTCCAGAATCTGCTTCATAAGATCTCTTAGAAACAGATTTAGTTGTGGAAAGATTTTGTTCAGCTCTTACTAGTTTTACTGATTTACTAGTACTTTGTGCTGAATAGTTAGATTTTTTGAAGAAAACACACTCTGTGCTTTTAGCTATATGATTTTCTGAGGAATTAGCACATTTTAATGTACAGTGTATATATTTTCTTTCAGTAATCTCACAAATTAAGCATTCATGTATACTTGTTTGATATTTTTAAGTACAGATACTATATCTAGCTTCTTTTTTACAGTTTGGTGCTGTATAATTATAAATTTGATAGTTAAAGTATTGTACAGTACTTCTAAATCTCTCTGGCTATTTGTATTTACAAACTTTAAGAGTCTGTCCACCAATTACAACTGTTTTCAGATTTTCAGCTATTTTAGTATTTTGAATATGAAAAGCAGCAGATGCATGTCTTTCTTATATTCTATTTTCAGTAGAAGATAGCTAGATTGGGGTTCTTTTTAAAGAGATAGAGTTGAAAGTTTCTATCTCTTTTTTTAAAAAAGATAATTCATTCTCTATATTGAAAATTTCTGTAGAGATATCATGGATTACAAGAACTTCCCAGTGCTCATCTTTATGAATTTTCATGCTCTCTATATCAAAGTTTATTAGATCTGAGAATATAGATATTCAAGTTTGCTTGTGTTTTTGAAAAAAATCAGCTGAAAAATCTTCTGTTATTATTAAAATTAGAGATTGGCCTTTAAATAACTTAGTAATTAAAGAAATAACTGGTTTTTCAGCAATATTTGCTTCAGTAAAGCTGTTATTTATTCTATTTCTGAAGAAGATAGCTTTGTTACTGATCTCTTCAAGTACTTGAGTATTTATCTTGAGAACTAGTCTTCTTTCTCTAAAGTGTTTTGACTTAAAAGACTGTTTCTTATCTATTTTACTGTTTACTTTAAGAGAGTAAAGAAGATTTGACTGAAGATTTAATATTTAATTCAGTTTGTAAAGCAGAAAAATATGATTTAAAAGTATTACTAGTAGATATCTTCTCTTGAAAGCAGATTTGTGAAGTATTACTACTGTTATTCTTAGTAGATAATACTATTTTTTGCTTTTCAAGCTGTGTAATTCTTTTCTCAAGATTTTGCAGTTCAGAGTCTTTAAAGACAGTGATATCTTCTTTTTCTTGAAAGAAAAAGATTTTTTAAATATTCAAGATACAAGTATTTAGTTCTTTTTACACAAGAATATAATTCTTCTTCTGAGATTCTTTAGCAAGAAAATTAAAAATTGACTTTAGATCTTGCTGTTCAGATTCAGAAGAAGAATCAGAAGTAAAAGATATTTTAACTATGTTTCAAGAAGTATCTTCTTAAATAAGAAAACAGAAGATAATTTTTTGAAATTACTTTTTTAAGAAAATCTTCTGAGATTATTCTGTATTTCACTTGCTATTTAACTCAAACTAGTTCAGTTGTTTTTCTGAGAGCTGAAAATCTCAATATAGTAAGTTTTTCTTTAGTTAGAGCTACATCTATTAAATTCTGAACTAGTTTTTTGAGAGAACTAGCAAACTATATAGTTTTTTTTAAAGACTGTGATCACAAAAACAGCTTCTAGAGTAAAAACTATAAAAAAACTATTAAAAGAGTAAAGAGCAAGAGAGCAAGCTAGTAAATCTAAGAAATATAAGTAATTATGTCTCAAAAATAAGTTAGACTAGTACTAGCAAGTATATCTTTTGAAGAAAAGTATCAAACTAGAGAGCTTTTTTGCAGAAAACCTTTCAGAAACCAGCTGAAAATATTCTTAAATTTAGTAGTAAAGACTTACATTCAAGATGCCAGAGCCAGTACTATAAAAATAAGGTATATTTTGAGCAGAAAAGTGAGAAGAGTAGCTGGCTTTTTCAGATATAGCAGCACCAGAAAGCTAGCACATCTTTTATTAGTGAACCTGTCAAGTTACTAGAAATCTAGCTTGATTTTTTTTTAAATGCAGAAAAATTAATAAAAACTGCTCTGATTTGCAAAATAGTCTATATTATAGCTTGTTCCTAGTTCAAAAACTTAGTTATTATAAATATTTGAAAAGCTATTTTTTACTAATTGATTCTGATTTCTCAGCTACCAAACAGTATAGAACATACTAGTATTTAGTAGAAATTGGTCAGAATTTGCAGAGATCAATTTGGCTCAGCTATAGCACCAAGGGTATCAAGTTGATAGGGCTGATTTAGTGCTGATGCAAAGCCTGGAGAGCAAAGATCAGATAAGAAGAGGTAGAGAGATAAGATGGAAGTAAATAAGATGAGAGCTCTAGCTTACTTGACACATCTCAACAAAATGTAAGTAAGCAAGAGTCTTGACAAGAAAAATCAAAATAAAAAAGTGTTCAGTAAGAAATTTTTCAGATAGAAGTGTAATAACACAACAAATAATAAAGATATAATAAAGAAAATTTGATAGTTTATCTAAAGAGTGTTATTAAGTTTGTCTCTCAAAATTCAGATAAAAAGACTTTGTGGTTAGTAAATAATAGTGTGAGAAGTATTTCTGACAGGCTTGAAGCTTGCACCATTTATTTCCACTTATATCTCAACAACTAGCAAGGCAATCCACTTGAAAATTGGAGAACTTCTTAGATAGAGAAATAGCTTTCAAATGAATATAGTTTTGTATCATGAGCCTAGCTGAAGTTGCTAGCTAAAAGTCTATTTACACAAATATATTGCTTGAAGAGAGAGAAAAAAGATGGTAAATGAGTGTATATACAATATATTCACAACATTTGTGTGTGATGCTAAGCCAAAAGAGAAATAATGTGAAGATCTTCTATACAGCATGCCATGAAGAATTTAGTTTAAGAAGAATAGAAGTTCAACTCTCTGTAATATCTCTCTTCTGTTCTTCAGATATTGTGCCATTACTAGTATTTGCAAATGCCAGAGATCTTATCTTGACACTTACAGTGCTCTTATTTATCAAGAGCTACTATCTTTTTTATGAGTGTGATGTTATTTTATATTAAGTGTGTGTATTTCTTTTATTTGATAAGATATTCAAGATATCAGTAGTTTTTTTACTTCTTGAGAATCTTTTCTACTTCATACTTCTTTTCCTTCTCAGTAGTGATCTCTGGCAGCTGCTAATCTGACTGCTGCTGGCTAGAAAAGAGGTTCATGGTGGCTGAGTAGAGAAGCTGCATATGAAAGTCATTATGAATTTCTGGTGGTATATTCAGATAATAACTATATAAGCTAACTATCTTAATAACTGTAAACTTGGCATACTTTGCATCTAGCTTCTTGTTTATATGAGCTGTCTTGATATTGAACAGATCTAGCCAGAGTTTATCTTTTATCTTGAAGTTCTATAAAGATTTATAATTGTAGTTAATATACTTTTCTTGCTTTTGTTAAACAGCAGTCATTACAGACTGAGCCTATTCAGCAGCACTTCATATTTTGTGCATGACAGTCTTTGCTTGTTTGATAGAGTTGTGTGAGACTGGTTTATGAATAAGGTATTAGTTTTAAGATCCAGAGAACTTATATTATAGCTGTGCATCAAAAAGAAGAAGGTTACTTCTGTTAATATACCATTATAATTATTGATTGCTAGCTTGACTAGTGACAATTATTAAGCTTAGTTATTCTATATAAAGTTAATAAACTTTTTAAGATAAGCTTTCAGTATTTAATTTATGTATTCTGTAGATCTATTAGTTTCAAAATGTGTAGTTATGAAGAGATATCTTTTAATCTTCAACAGCTGGCACAAGTAGATCCAAAAGCCATCTACAAATTATAATTTCTAATCAGAAACAATAGTTATAAGTAATCTGTAGCAGTAGTATATGCTTTATATAAAGACTTGAGCTGTCACAGGTTAAGCTGAAGTTGCTAGCTAAGACTCTATATACATGAATATATTGCTTAGAGAGAGAAAAAAAAGATGGTAAATGAGTGTATGTATAATATATTCACAATATTTGTGTGTAACACTAAGCCAAAAGAGAAATAGCATGAAGATCTTTTACATAACATGTTATCAAGAATTTAGTTCAAGAAGAGTAAAGATTTAATTCTTTATAACATCTTTCTTCTGTTCTTCAGGCATTGCACCATCACTAGCATTTACAAATGCTGGAAATCTTGTCTTAATACTTATAGTACTTTTATTTATCAAGAGCTACTATCTTCTTTATAAGTGTGGTGTTATTTTATATTAAGTACATGTATTCTTTTTATTTAACAAGATATTTGAGGCATCAGCAGTTTCTCTGCTCTCTAAGAATTTTCTCAACTTTATATTCTTTCTTTTTATTAGTGGTAATCTCTGGCAGCTGCCAATTTGACTACTGCTAGCTAGAAAAAAGATCTGTGGTGGCTGAACAGAAAAGCTGCACATGGAAAATATTGTGAATTTCTAGTGGTATATTCAGATAATAGCTATATAAGCCAATCATTTTAATAACTATGAACTTGATATTCTTTGCATCTAGCTTCTTGCTTATACAGTTTGTCTTGATGTTGTACAGATTTAGTCAGACTTTATTTTCTATCTTAAAGTCTTATAAAGATTTATAATTAGAGTTGGCATACTTTTCTTACTTCTGTTAAG